TAGGGTTTCTAGAGAGCAGGCGCCAAACCCTAAACCCTAAACCCTAAACCTTCAGCTGCTGCAACGACGCACACGCAGTGGGTACACCCAATGGATCGTAGCTGCTGCTGCTGCTGCTACTCTTGCTACTGCTGCTGCGCTTTCTGCTGCTGTTATTGCCGCTGTTGCTCTTGCTGTTGTTTTTGCTGCTGCTACTGCTGCTGCTGTTGCTGCTGCTGCTGCTCAAAGCGGAATACATCTGCTTCTGTTCTGTGTCCGCCGTTACTTCTTGTTCCCTCCACAGCAACAACGAGGGTTTAGGGTTTAGGGTTTGGGGTTTGGTGCTGTCTTTTTGGCGCGACAGAGAGACAACTCTGTATTGTAAAACAAGCAGCAGCAGCAGTTGCTGCAGCAGGTGCTGCAGCTGCTGCTGCAGCTGTTGTTGCAGCTGTTGTTGCAGCAGTTGCTGCTGTTTTTGCTGCAGCTGCTGCTGCTTCTGCTGCAGCAGATGATGTACAGATTTACGCTGTCGCGTCAAAAGGTAGAGGCGCTGATTCTGCTGCTGCTGCAGTACTTGCTGCAGCAGCAGCTACTGCAGCAGCAACTACTGCAGCAGCAGCTACTGCAGCAGCAGCTACTGCAGCAGCAGCAGCAAGGACAGAAGCTGTTGCTGCTGCTGCAGCTTCCATTTTCCAGTGTATATGCAAGCGCAGAGGTAGAAGCAACAATAAACCATTATTTGCTTTGAATTAATTAATTAATTTATCTGTTCATTTATTAGTTGAATTAATTAATTAATTATATTTATTATTTAATTTATTTATTCCTTCTTCTGTTCTGCTTGGGGCCCGTCTTGGTCCATGTCTTGCCTGTTTTCTGCTGCTGCTGCTTTGTCCGCTGCTGCTGTGTCTGCTGCTGCTGCTGCTGGCGCTGCTGCTGCTGTGTCTGCTGCTGCTGCTGTGTCTGCTGCTGCTGCTGGGCCGAACTTCTGTTCAAGTGCAGCAGCAAATGATTCTAGAGCTGCACCGCGAAAGACAGCAGCAAAAGTAAGTAGATACATATACCTAGCAGCAGCAGCAGCAGCAGCGGCAGCAGCAGCAGCAACAGCAGCTTACGGTCAGCAGCAAGAGGAGGCGGCGACGTAATGCCTGCAGCAGCAACAAAGACACGACAGCAACCCCACCTTGTGCAGCAGCAGCAGAACACAGCAAGCAGCAGCAGCAGCAGCAGAGTGATCAGCCCACCAGCAGCAGCAGCATTAGCGGAGGTGCTTTTGCTGCTGCTGCTGCTGCTGCTGCTGCAAAAGCACCTTCCCCAGCAGCAGCAGTTCGCGCACCATTCGCTGCAGCAGCAGCAGCAGTTGAGGCACCACCGCAACTAGCAGCAGCAGCAGCAGCCTTTTCAGCAGCAGCAGCAGCCTTAGCAGCAGCAGCAGCAGCAGCAGCTAACCGAAGGAGGAGAGAATGGCCCCGGGGTCTCTTTGAATTGCTTCGGAAAGAGACAAAAGAGACAAATTCAAATGAGGGCTTTTTAGTGCAGCAGCAGCATCAGCAGCAGAAGCAAAACCCTCGGGCAGCAGCCTGCAGCAAAACCCTCGCAGGCCTAGGGTTTAGGGTTTAGGGCCTAGGGGTTGGAAATCGAGGGTTTGCAGGCCTAGGGTTTAGCGGTTTAAGGGTCTAGGGTTTGGAGGTTTAGGGGCTTTGAGATTTAGGGTTTACAGGTCTAGGGTTTAGGGTTTAGAGGGTTAGGGTTTAGGGTTTAAAGGTCTAGGGTTTAGGGTATGGGGTTTATGAGCACTTATCGCAGCTTTTAGTGACAACTTTAAATAAATAAATTAAATAATAAAATGGATAAATAAATTAAATAAATAAATGAAATGAAATGAAATGAAATAAACAAATAAATAAGTAAAATAAAAAAATAAATAAATACAAATAAATAACAGACAAAAAAAATAAATAAAACAAATTTAAAAACGAAATAAAAGCAGAATTAAACAATTAATCAATTAAAACAAACAAAAAATAAATAAATAAATAAATAATAAATAATAAATAAATAAATACAACAAAAATATAAAAAATAAAAGAAATACTCCATCAGCTGCTGCAGCGCCTCTTCATCGTTCAGCAGCAAAGAAATCGCCTCTGAGTCCAGCACTTCCCGAAGAGACACTGCAGCAGCAGCAGCAGCAGATGTTGTAGCAGCAGCAGCAGCAGATGTTGCCGTAGCAGCAGCAGATGTTGCAGCAGCAGCAGCAGCAGATGTTGCAGCAGCAGCAGCAGATGCTGCAGCAGCAGCAGCAGATGTTGCAGCGGGTGCAGCAGCAGAAGCAGCAGCAGACGCTGCAACAGGTGCAGCAATATCAGCAGCAAATGCTGCAGTAGGTGCAGCAGGAGCAGCAGAAGCTGCAACAGCTGCAGCAGCAGCCGCACATGTTGCAACAGGCTCAGCAGCAGATTTTGCAGCAGCAGCAGCAGCAAGAGCAGCAGCAGCAGCAGTAGCAGCAGCAAAGTAACAGAAGCAAGTGAGAGACAAAAAATAGAAAGGAGACATTTTGCTGCTGCTACCTGATTCTGTGCTGCTGTGTCTTGCTGCTGCTCCAGCAGCAAACGACTGCAGCAGCTGCCGCAGCTGGTCCTCTTGCTGCTGCAGCAGCTGCCGCAGCTGGTCCTCTTGCTGCTGCTGTTGCTGCTGCTGCGGCTGCTGTTGCTGCTGCTGCTGCTGCTGCTGGCCTGCTGCTGTTGCTGCTGCTGCTGTGCGCCGAGAGCTGCAAAAGAGCAGCAAAATGAAAAAGTAAAAGGAAGCAAATAATAAACTATAAATAAAAAAGAAATAATTAAATTTATTTAAAAATAAATAAATAATTAAATTGATTTAATATAAGTAAATAAATTGATATAAAAATAAATAAATAAATATATGCATAAATAAAAGAAGCGGAAAAAGAGATAAAGGGAGAAAAACGAAGAGACAAAAGATAACTAATAAATAAATAAATAACAAATAATAAATAAATAAAAATAAATAAATAAATAAATATAAATAAATAAATAAATATAAATAAAGAAATAAATATAAATAAAGAAATAAATAAATAAATAGATAAGTAAATAAAACTAAATAAGCAAATGAAAATAAGTAAATAAACAAAAAGAAATATATAATGAAATAAACAAATAAAAAGAAAAGGGAAAAGAATTACTTGCTGCTGCTGCTGCTGCACCTCTTGAGGATCTCTTTTGCTGCTGCAACAAATTCTGCTGCTGCAGCAGCAGAAGGCTCTTGAAACCAAAACAGCTTTTTTAGTCCTTCAAACAAATAAAAAATAAATAAATAAATAAATAAATAAATAGTTTAAATTAATTAATTCAATTTAATCAATTTAATTAATTTAAATAAATTTAATTAATATAATCAATTTAATTAAAAAGACAAATAAAAAGGAGAAAGAATAAAGTAAATTACAAATGAGCAAAAACTAAATAAAAAATAAATTGAACTAAAAAGGGACAAAATAAGATAGATAAAAAACGAAAAGATAAAAAGACAAAACGAGTAAAAGAAGATTAAAAAAAGTTAAAAGAAAAAATAATTTTGAAAAATAAAAGAATTAAAAGGATTAAAGAATTAAAAGAATTGAAGAACTGATCAAGAATAAAAAACGGAAAAAAACAGCAGCAGCAGCAGCAGCAGCAGCAGCAGCCGCAGCAGCAGCAGCTACCTGCAGAGGGGGACTTGAAAACGGCAATTTGTGCTGTGTCCCTCAGCAGCAGCAGCAAAGAAGTGTCTCCTGGAAGAATTATTTCTTCCACTTTTTCTCCCCCGGGACGCAAACTCCAAGACAAACTCACGCTGCTGCTGCTCCGCTGCAGCAGCAGCAGCAGCAGCGGCAGCAGCGGCAGCAGCGGCAGCAGCGGCAGCAGCAGCGGCGAAGAAGTCAGGCAGGGCAGCAAGGCAGTGTGGCAGCAGCAGCAGCAGGAAGCAGCAGCAGCAGGAGACAGCAGCAGCAGCGCGCAGCAGGAGGCAACAGGAAGCAGCAGCAGCAGCAGCAAGAAGCAGCAGCAGCAGCACGCAGCAACACAGCAAGGCGAGCTAGGGTTTACAAACCCTAACATTTGCAAATTAGGGTTTGCGAATTAGGGTTTACAAACCCTAGCATTTGCACCTGAGAGTTTCTCTCTTCGCTGTTTTTCCAAACCACCTCCACCCAAACCCCAAACCCTAAACCCCAAACCCTAAACCCTAAACCCTAAACCCCCAACCACTCGCCACCCACGCCCCGCAAGCGTATCAATCTGCGTCTTTTTGGCTGAATTAATTAATTAAATGAATTAATTAATTATTTTATTTTTTTATTTATTTAATTTAATTAATTAATTTAATTAATTTAATTAATTTGATTTATTTAATTTATTTAATTACTTGAAATAATTGAAGACAGCCTTTGCGCACATCCGGAGATACCAGCTTGCCGCTGAGGAGGCAGCGGCCGGCCTTCACCGACAGCAGCGGCTGCACGCAAACCCTAAACCCTAAACCCTAA